GATGAGGGGAGGTGGGGAAGGGGACCATCTCAAGTATGACTGCTATGGAAGGTGTTGCAGGCATGCAAGGACTATTCATGGCCAATAATATAGTACATCTGTTCATGTGCTTGGTGCTGATGGTGAGTGTGTGGGTTTTTCTGGCAAGTATGTTACTGGTGGAATGACTGAATGCCAAATGGCAAGTCCCTCCTACTTCACTGATTAGAGTAGAATTAATTTCCTATTTTCTGAGAGTAGACAATGTGATCCAAGTTGGCAAAAGAGGAAGGTGTGCGGGAGGTGAGGTGTTTGGTGTATGCATTACACAAGGCATCACGAGGCAGATGTCTTATCTAAGCATTTTCGAATCCTGAGACATGATGTCATAAACTCTGTCAGGGATGCTGACTGCCTCACTTTCACCTTGTGCGGCATGGAGCGATAATCACCTGATCTTCTTGGCTGCATTCAGAACAGTCACAGACAGCCTCAGAATAGCACCATAGGACAAGACTGTGGCTTCGCCCTTACCTCCCTGCACTGTTTTGGTAACATCTAAAATAAACCGGTAGGGTTTGTCACTGCTCGATATGAAGGGGTTTTCAGTCAGGATTGTTTTTTACCCCATTCTAATCCCAAACAAGAAGAAAAATATTATGTTTTTTAATGTAATTCAATCATGAGGTACACGTAAGGAGGGATATGTGTGGTTACTTGAAAGATGTGTCTTAGTAAATTGTACTAAATATGTTTTACCTTACATTAGGGCTGTGCAAAAAATCGAATGCGTTTTTCAAACACAGAGCCGTAGTTCACTGACAAGCTACGCAAATCGCGTTCAACATCGCAGACGAATCATTGCCGATTATGAACGCGATTTTGTGTAGCTTGTCAGTGAACTACGGCTCTGTGTAGTAAATGCCGGCTTTACTGACGAGATGCGCATGAAAATCTCATTCGATTTTTTGCACAGCCCGACCTTACATTTGACAATAATCCAAACAATTTATTGAAATATATTTGAAATTTGTGCATCCTCCACATACAGAATTTTCAAATGTTTTTTTATGGGTTTAAGATGTTATGGATGCTATGCTAACCTGTTGGCTCCTCTCTCTTTGTGTCTCTGCAGGAAAGCGGCCTCACCAGTGCCAGATTTGCAAGAAGGCCTTCAAACACAAGCACCACCTCATCGAGCACTCACGCCTACATTCAGGCGAGAAACCTTACCAGTGCGACAAATGTGGCAAGCGCTTCTCCCACTCTGGCTCTTACTCGCAGCACATGAACCACCGATATTCCTACTGCAAACGGGAGGCAGAGGAGCGAGAGGCTGCCAAACAAGATAGCCATGACAATGGTGGACCCCTGGAGCCCACGGAGCTCCTCATGCGTCGGGCTTACCTTCAAGGCCTTGGACCCCTTGGCTTTTCAGATCCAGAGGACCAGACCGAGGACATCACACGAGAAAACACCATCTTGAGAGATGGAACTGAGGGTGGGACCAGGGAGGCAGAAGAGGCATATCCGGAAGTGACTGACAGGCAAGAGACAAGGTTGGTTGAAGAAGAGGAAATGGAGACAGAGGGGCAGAGATTTGACACTCGGAGCCCTGATGGAACAGCAAAAGATGAGAAAGAGAGCGAAGTAAAGGGAGGGACAGAGGACGAGAGCTCGGAAGAGGGGAAATTGGCAAGCAAAAGAAATCCTGATGGCGAGAATGAGGATGCTGATTAACTACTGCAATTTGGAATAAGCTTCCTGTATTATTTGTTTTCTTTTTCCCTCAAGCTTGCATCGCACCCTTCTTCCGCCCTTTTGGAGGGACTTTGAGCCAGATTCTCATTTGTACCACACTGCCACGTCTTGGTTATCTGAGCGTGTGCCTGAGGCTTGCACTCATCGATATAAAGAGTGGAACTCCGAAATCAGGCATCAGAAACTAGGCTGGAACATGAAGGAATCCATATTATGCAAAAATACGATTGTCAGAATAAAAATAAAAGAAAGGTTTTTAAAATGTACAGCGTTTTCAGCCAGAAAGCTGTGCGGTTCTGATTTCCATGTAACTCCTGTGTTTCATTGTGGTCGTAGCACAAGCCTTGAAATTGCACTCTGAAAAAAAAGTGTTAGATAAAAGGAAAAAAAAATAAAATAAAATAAAATGAACAAAAAATCTCTTAGGTAAAAAAGGATTGCCTATATGTACTTATACTGCGTTTGAAGATGCAGTAGTGTGTCAGTGTTATATTTCATTATCACTTACTGTGATACCCTTGGTTTTACCTTTCTTTTCCTGACCAGGCATTCAAGTTTTGGTGTCTCACCATGGCTTTTTTATGAAGCGACTTTAACGAAATAATACCTATATGATTCTTAAACATACAAAGTCTTAAAATTGGCCAGGGGTGGATGGAAAGAGTTTGGGTAACTGTAATGACGAAGGCTCATTGTATGAGGCGACATCACAACGCCTGTGTTTTTTTCGTTCGAGAAAAGCCTTATATGCAAACCCTTTCACCTGTGTTTTCTGCAAGTGCCATCCTTGTACAGTATAAAGCGAAGTCAACTAGAGTTCTCTTTGCACCTGCTTTAGTATTAAATGAAATATTTCACCTTGTCGTTTGAAATACCTACGTCAGTATTAGTATATCTAGACTGCAGTTGTTTAGTTTACATATTGTTTGTGCAATTTTCTGTATTTTCTAAAGATCATCTGTCAGTATTATCTTGATTTGTTTTGTTTTGTTCAATACAAAATTCATTTTTATTTTAAACTGCCATTTTATTTATGTGACTCATTTTATATTTCCTAATTATATTTATTTCATACTGTAGTGTACAGTATTATAGTTCCTTGATATAGATATATTTTAGTAAATAAGGATCCTTACCAGTGGAGCAAATTTTACGTAAAGAGAGCATTTATTGTATCTGGAGTGATTGCTGTGAATTGCTCTTCATACTACACTTACCTGATGAAGGATAATCTATAATTTGGGAACTTTTGATACAATATTGTGAAAACACTGTATTTTTGACTGAAAGGAAAAATTCCACTTTATTCATCTTATTTGTTTTTCCTTTTTTCCCTTTTTTAGCTAAAGAAATAAAGGGGGGCTGTGGTTGTTGGGATTTTTTGAAATGTCTGTTGAAGTATAATTTAATTTTTAATTTGTAATTTCTCTTGAAAATGACCTTGCTCGAATAAATGTAGCCCAATTTAATTTTGAAATCCTGTGTAACATCTCACTTATCAAGTCACTTAAATTTCCGCACAATCTGACAGATATGGACACTTTTAATTTATTTTTAATGCAAAATAATCATTCCCATATAGCCAAGAAAAAAAAAATAGTTGGCAGTTTAGTATCTTTGATATAATGTATGCATGTGTGTGTGTGTATGTGTGTGTGTGTGTGTGTATGATAAGTAGTGACATCCATATTATAAATCATCTCCATAAACTGGAGAAAAATAGCTATCAAACATCAGATTTGAATATTCCCTGGTATCATTTTCTTTGCTATCATTTAATTAATTACTGGAACCTTTACCTTTTGATGTGGATTACACATAGCAATATAATCCACCTTATCAAAGTCTCTCACAGTATGATAGCCTTCTATTAGTCTCTTTGAAGTTGAATGATGTTGGGTTGCGCTAAATTAACATCAGCTGCAGGCTGCCAAACTGGCTGTGAAGTCTCGAAGTTGGAACTCTAAGGAGTTCCATTAACCATGACCTTGCTAATTTTCTCAGCTCACATACTCATCTCAAGTTTAATTTTCAAGGAACTATTCAAGATACTTTTCTCCCGCAGGGAGATGTACAGTCCATTACATTTTAGAAGCTAAGGTTACTGTATAAAAGAGCACTATTAAATTGAACTGCATAGTACTTATACATAAGCTACATCCTTCTGCAATACACATTTTCTCTGCTGTCCAAATTTTGATGGGTATAGTTTGGAAAATAAATGCATAAGTGGGAAAACCACTTAAATGTGTATATGTTCTGACACTGAATGTTAATGTTTGAGACACTTTCCATGATACAATATGGTAACTATAACATGCAGATTAAATTCAGTTAAATATAATAATTGATCTGGTCTGAGACTGTAGCTGTAGTTGTTTCCATTCAGGTAATTATCTGAAGGAACCGTTGTAAGTGCTGTTGACCACACTGTACTTTACCTAAACTGACATCAGCACACAAAGCACATATTAAACACACATTCAAATAAATAAATGACCCAGTACATTTATGACAATTATTAAAAAATATATTTTGATATTTCAGTTTTTCTTTTTTAATAAATCTGCAAAAATGTCAACAATTCTGTGTTTTTCTGTCAATATGGGGTGCTGTGTGTACATTAATGAGGAAAAAAAAATAACTTAAATGATTTTAGCAAATGGCTGCAATATAACAAAGAGTGAAAAATTTAAGGGGGTCTGAATACTTTCCGTACCCACTGTATATATAACCAACATTTGTACCGCAGTTATAGTTACTACTACTAAATGTGTTCACTTACTGTAGTATTAGCACCACTCTTATCAATCAATAAGTTTAAAAGGATGAATACAAAAGATTTATGAATGATTGAAGATAATAATTAGGAAATCAGTTGTCTGACATCATGGCTAAGCTTTCACATATAACTGCTCTCAGTAAGCACATGAACAAATTCCACCTTCAAATGACAGGTTTTAGCTTGTGGGTCAGAGATCGACCTTTTAGACCTTGATCAAGCAAGTTAGAATTAGTAGACCACCTTGGACCACAAACCGCCTACCATGTTTCAAAACCCGGCTTAAGCTGATATGACATGGGTTTTCCAGCATAAACATTCATTTATTTATATAAAAATGTGTTACTATCAACAAAATATGTTTATATTATAAATTAAAACTACTTATTAAAACGATTAATTCATAGTGAATTTAACAAAAGCTGTCCCACGTCGTCAGCACAGTTCACACTACGAAGCACATCATGACGTCGCCTGCAAACGACTTCACGGTACAGCGCTGGAGGAGAGCGTGCTCACGCACAGTGACGTCATGACGTAAACGCGCTGCGTCTTTCAGGAAGAGGTAAGACTGAATTAAACACGCGAATGTATGTTTGTTTCTGCCTGCTTAACTGGCTTAAAACCTAGCTACGAGTGCTTCTGCTGATCTATCGATCAACTGAAGGCAAACATGGATATATGCGGTTGTGCAGTCATCGAAATGTTTCTTTTCTGCAAAACAAATCAGTCATTCTTGAGACATGGGACAAAACCGGTCCAGCAAGGGTAACCGCTATTAGGTTTAAAAAAAAAAAAAAAATACAATTTTTAAATGTCACGATGGATTAATAATAGAATGTATTTATCACCTTCAATTTAATTTTCTCATTATTATACCAAATCTATGTTTCTTAATGTCTTCTCACTACATCTAAAACAGTGTGTCCACAGCGAAGGGTTCAATCATTCATATGCAATAAAATGGATAAAATGTTTTTTTTAATGATGAAAAGGAGCTTGTTTTATCAAAAGCAACACTTAATAATATCTCCTATCAAAGCAAGGTTGTTTTTTTAATGACACATGCATGTTTCATAAGATTTTAAAGTTGCGTCCCCACTTTTTGTCAACACCGTCAGACATTCAATAAAATGTAATAAAATCAGGGAATATCAGGGGCAGCTGTCACTCTAAAGGACCCCCTTGCCACAGTTCACCTCTGCAGAGTACAGCAGTGTCAGACAGGCTCTGCTAAGTTTTAGTTTTAGAATATTTTAAGTCCTAATGTTAATATTTCCTGTGTCACAGCCATGATATGTCAACACCATCTTATTTTTTCAATTTTGCACCCTGTTTTGTCCCACTTCTCAAGAATGACTGAAATGTTGAAGTTAATTGGTTCTTATTGCTGTGTCTGTTATGCAAATTCATGTAATAAATAAATAAATAAATATAAAACTAAGGAAAATAAGATCTAAACTAAAAAAAATAAAACTAAAGAGTAGTCTTTTGTATGAATGCAACTTTACAGCTTTCGCATACAGTGGCCCAAATGGTATTTGAACACTGTTTGCATTAAATAACATCATATCAAACCAAGTGAGATTTTCAAGGCTTGCATAAAGCACACTTTGCAAGCAAAGTATTTCACACAAATACGTTTATTAGATTTGAAATGATTAAACTATAGATATTCAATTCAAAAATAGTATATAGAGACTTTCTGTTTGTCAAACATTACAGTTTAGTTCAGTTACTGTGATGAATTGCACCTGTGGTTACTCTACTATACTTGAGAAGAACAGTTTTCATACATCGACAAAAAATGAGAAATTGCCTCCAGTTGGTTTTTATTATTTTTATTACTGCACTGAAATTATGACATTTTAAAGTGTGGCTTTAGCTTCTTAGTGCTTTTTTATTTTCTGAATAAAATCAAGATTTTCTTCTGTCTTCAAACAGCAGTCAGATTTTTAGCTGAAATAAGGAACACATTAAAAAAAGATTTCCAGAATTATTATATTATATTATTAATCAGTGGTCAAAGAAATGTTAACAATAGTGGAGTGGACAAATAAAATACATGCAGATAAGTGATACAAATGAGAGTTAACACAAAATCTAATGCATTCAAATATTCCAGTAGTGCTTTTTTTTATTTAGATCCATCAATATGGTCCTGAATATCACAGCCTTTGCTGTAAATGCTGCAATATGATACAGAGCAGTTGCTTCAGATCTTAATTCGCATGGTTTCAGCTGGACCAGCTGTGTTTTGCTAGAAATGAGTCGGAGAGAGGAAATATGCAACCTTGAAATGTCACAATGCTGGTCTTGAGATTGTTGTCACTAGTTTATGCATTTTGTTTGATCCCTATTGTCGTATTGAAGAGAGAAAATGGACATAGACGTACTTTTAAACATTTCAGACTAGCCTATTATTTTACTTTCCGTGTGCTGTAATTTTGGAAGACAAAACTATAGGCAGCAATTTGTGCCTTTATTTTACTGTTATTATTTTGATCTGTTTACTTACTTGATAGGTCTGTTTTGCTTAATTCAGTGACCGAGGAAGAGATATTCAAGTAATTTCTGTTTGGTATGGAATTATGCGTGTTACAGTATATGACCCATAAATGAAGGAGAACCTGTGCGTTGTATTATACTTTAAGCAGGAAGCATCTCTTACCCACAAATGGAAATACATAGACATGGAACGCTAATTTGAAATGTGGGGACTTTTGGTAAGATGCTAACCCATTCCAGTAAACCGTATATATGAGGATTTGATTTTACTGTTCGAAATTGTAATTCTCGATAATGACGAAAAGACAAAGTCAGCATTGGGATATTTTCCAAATGCAGGGCATATAGCTAATACCTTTTGAAATAATGCCATCCACAAATCCAGTGATATTTTGCCTGTTTGAGGTAGCACTGTCGCTAAATTTTAAATTTATTTAACTTGAAAATAATTTATTTCTATTGATTTTTTTTGTGTGTGTCTTGATAGTTTAAACAAGGCTCTTTTGAACTTTATTTGATCAGCTTCATGCCTCCCATGTCTGTGATAGAGGCCATATTCTGCCATCTTATTAAATCTTTCATAGTACAATTTTCCTGTACTAGACGCTTGAAATTAGCCCTTTGTGAAATCTGGAGGAAATTTTCTTTCAAATGACCTGTTCAGGAATCAAGCGTTAAGCTTTTGTCTTATTATATCAAGCCATAGTCTAATTCAGAATGCTGTAGTCTGACACCTAATTGTCACCCATAAATGATAAAGAATCAGGTTAAACTCTTCAATTCATGGCACATGATCACAGTGCCTGGTGCTTGGCTCTCTTCATCTCCGTCAGCCGAGTGTGCAGTGATTAGTATGTAAGCGCTAGCATGTAATTACTGAGCAGCTTCCTTTCCTTTAATGATTACCGTTAACACAAAGCCTCTGACGAGGTGAATGAGGACACGGCTCACTCTATTAAAAGACAGAACAGACACTTGGATGGTCTGAAAATTTAATTCGTGGAAAATGTGAACTTCCTCTCCTTTTCTAACGTGAGATCAAAGGCATTTATGAATAGTACTTTGTGCCCTCGGTGCGTGTTGTGAACCTTCTGAAAGTGTCAGTGTCAGTCTGAGCACTTCGAGTTAAAAGGTTTCAGAAACAAATGACTATCATTTTACAAAGCTTAATAGTGTTTTAGTTGATTGGGATGCCACTCAGTTCAGCAGAGACTGTCTGGAGGTTGAAGAATGTGTGTTGGCAACATTCATTAGACCAGTTTGTTAAACAATATCATTGCAGAAAAGCTTCTTTTTTTTGACACATTTATTTCATGCTGCTTGAGCTGATGAAAATGTTTTACTCGTATTCAGTAAATTAAAATGAAACGGAAGTTCGGTTTTTTCTTAATTAGCCTTTTCTTGTATTTTACCTCATTCTGTTTGAGGTAAACCATTAGGACATGTAAAGTAAAAGTTTTCACATCTTAGGCAGTGTAGTATAATAACCATGGTATTTCCAGGGTACAATATTTGTTTATAAAATACGAAATCATCTGATCTCTTTTTTGCCTTGGAGTGCTTAAACATGATAGAATAGCACATACAACAAACATCAACTGCACTTTGGCAAGTGCTAGCTACGGAGACGGCCCAGCGTCTGAATTTATGAACACAGTGAACTTTGAAAGAGCTCCACAGTTTGCCCACTCATTTGTGACCCAGACATTATGTGATGGCACTAATATTTTTTCTCTCTGTGTATAGGTTTCGCTTTTTGAATTTGAGCGACAAGCTGTAGTGGAAATAAATTGTGTTGATACGGTGTGTACTGCAGCTCCTGTTGTGCACTTCATTACAAAACGTGTCTACCAACTCTCATCTATCGTGACTTGACTCCTTTGACTTTCAAAATGAGCACCTCAGTGGTACATGGGTCAATAAGAAATAATAGTGTCTGCGATAAAGGAAACATCTCTACACACAGATTCTTAGAAATGTACTCTTATTGTTCATTTTTTCTTGAATATGTGGGTAACACTTTAGAATAGGGAACACATATTCACTATTAATTAAGAGTCTTCCCTCAATAAACTCCTAATTTACTGCTTATTAATAGTTAGTAATGTAGTTGTTAAGTGTAGGTTTTGGGTAGGATTAAGGGATCTAAAATATGGTCATCCAGAATAAGGCATTAATATGTGCTTTATAAGTAGTAATAAACAGCCAATATGCTAGTAATATGCACTCTAATAAGCAGCTAGTTAATAATGAGGTTAGGTCCTTAAAATAAAGTGTTACCAATATGGGTGGGTATATTATAATAGTTTTTATTAATATCATTTTTAGCATTTTTTAAGGTAAAATTAAACACACACAAATTATTCATTTTCATTAATTTGCACCACATAATATTTTTACAAAAGTTTTTTTGTAAATATAATATAATAGTATAAATATAATATAACAAATATAATATAATATTATGACAGTTATGACTCTTATATTTTCATGACAGTTGAATCGCCGATTTTTGACTTTATGCATAAAATCGAATTAATTTTAATTAGAAATTAAAAACATGCTGGCCATAAAATAGGTTTAGTCAAGTCATTGTATGTATGAATTGTATTTTTAAATAAATTAATAGATAATGGAAAAGATGAGCTTCACGTCACTGATCCGTATGCGTGCATCATTGTAATAGTCCAGCTTATTTTGTTATTGTTTTACTTTGAATACAGATTCAGATGCAGCACGGTCAAGGCTCGACCTCATGTTGTTTCCTTGTATCGCTCGAGTCTAATTTCAAGTGATCAGCCGTGGCTTTGGTCTGCTGTGTGGGAGTACATAATCGGATGTTTCATTCTGGCTGAATTAGCCCTCCAGAAAGACCACATCACTTTAAGGCCTTCTCCTGCCCTGTCAGAGTCCATCGCGGGTGATGGCACACACACATTCACACACGCATACACACTCAAGACATCCACGGATGGCTAGAGGCTGTTAAAATGAGGTGTTGAGAGTTGGCTCACACGCTCCAATGCGCCATGTTTCTGGGTGCTTGTCACTGGGCAG